AATGTAAACTGACTGAATGCTCCAAGCAAAAGACACAGAGTCCCTGACTGGAAACAAAAACAAGTTCCATAAATATGATGCCTACAAGAGACCCACTTGAGATCTAGAGACAGATAAAGACTGAAAGGGGACAGGAAAAGTTATTTCAGGAAAATGGAAATCAAAAGAAAGCTGGAGTAGCAATACTTATACAGTTACAACAGACAAAGAACACAATATCCAGGGAACAAACCAAGAAGATTTACAAATTGTAAATATATGTACTCAACATAGGAGCACCTAAATACATAAAGCAAATATGAATATACATAAAGGAAGAAATTTACAGTATCACAGAAATACTAAGGGACTTTAAAACCACACATCAATGGTAACAACACTTACACAAGGCTATAAGATTAGATATCAATTACAAGAAAAAAAAGCTGTAAAAAACACAAACAAATGGAGGTGAAACAAAACACTTCTAAATAATCAAGTGCTCACTCAACAAGTGAAACTAAATGATGAAAAGACAATATGTAGAATGGGAGAAATAACTGCAAATGAAGCAACTGAAAAAGGATTAATTTCTAAAACATATAAGCAGCTTATGACAGTTAAATACCAGAAAAATAAACAATCCAAACAAAAAATGGGCAGAAGCCCTAAACAGGTATTTCTCCAAAGAAGGCATACAGATGGCCAATAAACACATGAAAGATGCTCAAAATGGCTTATTATTAGAGAAGTGTAAAGCAAAACTATAATGAGGTATCATCTAACACCAATCAGAATCAGTTCAGTTGCTCAGTCACGTCCAACTCTTTGCGACCCCATGGACTGCTGCACACCAGGCCTCCCTGTCCATCACGAACTCCCAGAGCTTACTCACACTCATGTCCATTGAGTTGGTGATGCCATCCAACCATCTCATCCTCTGTCGTCCCCTTCTCCTGCATTCAGTCTTTCCCAGCATCAGGGTCTTTTCAAATGAGTTAATTCTTCACATAAGGTGGCCAAAGTATTGGAGTTTCAGCTTCAACAGTAGCCCTTCCAATCAATATTCAGGACTGATCTCCTTTAAGATGGACTGGGTGGATCTCCTTGCAGTCCAAGGAACTCTCCAAGAGTCTTCTCCAACACCACAGTTCAAAAGCATCAATTCTTTGGCACTCAGCTTTCTTTATAGCCAACTCCCACATCCGCACATGACTACTGGAAAAACCATAGCCTTGACTAGACAGAACTTTGTTGGCAGAGTAATGTCTCTGCTTTTTAATATGTTGTCTAGGTTGCTCATAACTTTTCTTCCAAGGAGCAAGCATCTTTTAATTTCATGGCTGCAGTCACCATCTGCAGTGACTTGGGAGCCCAAAAAAATAAAGTCTCTCACTGTTCCCATTGTTTCCCCATCTATTTGCTATGAACTGATGGGGCTGGATGCCATGATCTTAGTTTTCTGAATGTTGAGTTTTAAGCCAACTTTTTCACTCTCCTCTTTCACTTTCATCCACAGGCTCTTTAGTTCTTCTTCGCTTTCTGCCATAAGGGTGCTATTATCTGCATATCTGAGATTATTGATATTTCTCCCAGCAATCTTGATTCCAGCTTGTGCTTCATCCAGCCCAGCATTTCTCATGATGTACTCTGCATATAAGTTAAATACACAGGGTGACAATATACAGCCTTGACGTACTCCTTTCCCTATTTGGAACCAGGCTGTTGTTCCATGTCCAGTTCTAACTGTTGCCTTTTGACCTGCATACAGATTTCTCAGGAGGCAGGTCAGGTGGTCTGGTATTCCCATCTCTTTCAGAATTTTCCACAGTTTGTTGTGATCCACACAGTCAAAGGCTTTGGCATAGTTAATAAAGCAGAAGTGCATGTTTTTCTGGAACTCTCTTGCTTTTTCGATGTTCCAACGGATGCTGGCGATTTGATCTCTGGTTCCTCTGCCTTTTATAAATCCAGTTTGAATATCTGAAAGTTCACAGTTTACACATTGTTGAAGCCTGTCTTGGAGAATTTTGAACATTACTTTGCTAGTGTGTGAGCTGAGTGCAATTGTGTGGTAGTTTGGGCATTCTTTGGCATTGCCTTTCTTAAGGATTGGAATGAAAACTGACCTTTTCCAGTCCTGTGGCCACTGCTGTTTTCCAAATTTGCTGGCATATTGCATGCAGCACTTTCACAGCATCATCTTTCAGGATTTGAAATAGTTCAACTGGAATTCCATCACTTCCCTTACGTTTGTTCATAGTGATGCTTCCTAAAGCCCACTTGACTTCGCATTCCAGCATGTCTGGCTCTAGGTGAGTGATCACACCATCGTGATTATCTGGATCATGATGATCTTTTTTGTACAGTTCTTCTGTGTATTCTTGCCACCTCTTCTTAATATCTTCTGCTTCTGTTAGGTCCATACCATTTCTGTTCTTTATTGTGCCCATCTTTGCATGAAATGTTCCCTTGGTATCTCTAACTTCTTAAAGAGATTTCTAGTCTTTCCCATTCTATTGCTTTCCTCTATTTCTTTGCATTGATCACTGAAGAAGCCTTTCTTATCTTTCCTTGCTATTCTTTGGAACTCTGCATTCAGTTCAGTTCAGTTCAGTTGCTCAGTCGTGTCCAACTCTTTGCAACCCCATGAACCGCAGCACACCAGGCCTCCCTGTCCATCACCAACTCCCAGAGGCCACCCAAACCCATGTCCATTGAGTCAGTGATGCCATCCAACCATCTCATCCTCTGTTGTCACCGACTCCTCCTGCTTTCAATTTTTCCCAGCATCAGGGTCTTTTCAGATGAGTCAGCTCTTCATATCAGGTAGTCAAAGTATTTCAAAGAATTTCAGCTTCAACATCAGTCCTTCCAATGGACACCCAGGACTGATCTCCTTTAGGATGGACTGGTTGGATCTCCTTTCAGTCCAAGACTCTCAAGAGTCTTCTCCAACACCACAGCTCAAAAGCATCAATTCTTCAGCACTCAGCTTTCTTTATAGTCCAACTCTCACATCCATACATGACCACAGGAAAAACCAAAGCCTTGACTAGACAGACCTTTGTTGACAAAGTAATGCAAATGGGTATATCTTTCCTTTTCTCCTTTGCCTTTTGCTTCTCTTCTTTTCTCAGCTATTTATAAGGCCTCCTCAGACAACCACTGTGCATTTCTTTTTCTTGGGAATGGTCTTGATCACTGCCTCCTGTACAGGGTCACGAACCTCCGTCTAACTCTTCAGGCACTCTGTCTAACAGATCTAATCCCTTGAATCTATTTGTCACTTCCACTGTGTAATTATAAGGAATTTGATTTAGGTCATACATGAATGGTCTAGTGGTTTTCCCTACTGTCTTCAATTTAGGTCTGAATCTGGCAATAAGGAGTTCATGATCTGAGCCACAGTCAGCTCCGGGTCTTGTTTTTGCCGACTGTATAGAGCTTCTCCATCTTTGGCTGCAAATAATATAATCAATTTGATTTCAGTATTGTCCACCTGGTGATGTCCATCTGTAGTCTTCTCTTGTGTTGTTGGAAGAGGGTGTTTGCTATGACCAGTGCATTCTCTTGGCAAAAACCAGTCAGAATGGTCATTATCAAAAGTCTACAAACAATAAATGTTACAGAGGATATGCAGAAAAGGGAACCCTCCTGCACAGCTGGTGGAAAAGTAAACTGATACAGCCATTATGGAGATTTCTTAAGAAGCCAGGAATAAATCTACCATATGACCCAGCACTCCCACTACTGGGGATATATCCTGATAAAACCACAATTCAAAAAGACACACGTACCCCAGTGTTCATTGCAACACTACTTACAATAGTCAGGACACAGAAGGAACCTAGATGTCCATCAACAGATGAATGGATAAAGAAGATGTACATTATACAGAGTGAAGTAAGCCAGAAAGATAAAGACCATTACAGTATACTAACACATATATATGGAATTTAGAAAGATGGTAACCATAACCCTATATGCAAAACAGAAAAAGAGACTCCGATGTATAGAACAGACTTGTGGACTCTGGGAGAAGGCGAGGGTGGGATGTTTCAAGAGAACAGCATCAAAACACGTATATTATCTAGGGTGAAACAGATCACCAGCCCAGGTTGGGTGCATGAGACAAGTGCTCGGGCCTGGTGCACTGGGAAGACCCAGAGGGATCGGGTGGAGAGGGAGGTGGGAGGGGGGACCGGGATGGGGAATACATGTAAATCCATGGCTAATTCATTTCAATGTATGACAAAACCCACTGCAATGATGTAAAGTAATTAGCCTCCAACTAATAAAAATAAATGAAAAAAAAAAAAAGAAGATGTACATGTATACAATGGATTATTAAGCCATAAAAATAAAAGGGCTTCCTTGGTGGCTCAGCTGGTAAAGAATCCGCCTGCAATGCATGAGACCTGGGTTCAATCCCTGGGTTGGGAAGATCCCCTGGAGATGGGAATGGCTACCCACTCCAGTATTCTGGCCTGGACAATTCCATGGACGATATAGTCCATGGGGTCACAAATTTGAGTTAGTGGTAGTGAGGTCGATGAACTTAGAGCTTGTTATACAGAGTGAAGTAAGTCAATACATAACATATATTAAATGTATACATACAAAATTTAGAAAAATGATACTGATGAACCTATCTGCATGGGAGTAATGGAGACACAGATGTACAGAATGGACTTGTGGAGATAGTGGAGAAGAGGGTGGGACAAATGGAGACAGTAGCATTGACATATATACACTATGATGGGTAAAACAGATAGCTGGTGGAAGTTGCTATAAGAGCCCAACCTGGTGCTCTATGACCTGGTAGGGTGGAAAGGGGGAAGGGAGGGAGGCTCAAGAGGGAGGCAATATATGTATAATTATGGCTTATTCAAGTTGTTGTATGGCAGAAACCAACGTAAGATTATAAAGCAATTTTCCTCCAATTAAAAAAAAATTTAAGAAAAAATAAAGTAAAATAAAATTAAGTACAAAATAATAAGAAAAAAAAGAACTATTACCTTTCATGTTTGCAGCATATCCACTGTTATTCACCAATGTAGAATATGGTTGTTCATTTTGAGGCAAGGCTCCTGCAGCCATGGTAGTCTGTTGGCGGGAAAAGATTACTTTTTGAATTCTGCCTATGGAATATTTATTTGCTAATCACCTACAATGTGCTAGTCTTCTACTATCTAATACAGCAATCATTAACTAAGTGGTTACTGAGCATTTAAAATGTGGCTAGTATAGATTTGAGATATGCTATAGATATAAACTACAAGATTTTGGAGAATGGCACAAAAAAAGAATATATTTATTTTTTTACACTGATTTAACATTTAAATATTTTAAAATATATTAGGTTAAATAAATTATTAAAATTATTTTTCTGATTCTTTTTGTTGTTACTGGAGAATCCAAATTTGAATATGTGGCTCATATAATATTCTAGTGGACAGTGCTGTGCTAGACTATAAGGAAATGATAGAAAAAAATACGACCTACTCTTCCTGTACATTTATAGATTGTTGGGAAGATAAGATGTAGACATAAATAATGCTAACATGTGCTAAGTATCACAAGGCAGTCTGGGACAAGCTAGAGGGCTGCCCAATTTGAGGGCAGGAGCAATGCTTAAAAAAGGAATTTGTACTTGAACTAGGCTCAAGGGGTAACATTTATTGTGGACACAATGGTACACTAGGGAATTAAACAGAATCCCTCCTTCTTTACTAATTCAGTTCAGTGAGGGTTACTGAATTTATGACTTTACAGTTAACAGTCTTCATCTATCTCATGGTAAATTATATGGCTAAGTAACCATAGTGTTGCTATGATTTCAACTGAGGAAAGTTAAGTAAATCATTTAATGTGTCAAAAAGCAAAAATCATCACTTTTTTGAAGCCCCTATTATGTGTCAGACTGTGAAATAAACAAAACACATATTGATTTCTGCTCCCTGGTTCCTGACACAGAGCAACTAGACTCCTGTAAATTCCTAAATGATAAGGACCCTAGGAGACTCTTTGTTCTAATTCTAATGGGGTAACTCTTAACTCTAGGTGGGCTACTGGATGGCTCCTGGATGGGGGCTGGTCAGAAAGCCCCCAGTAATCAGAAAGCCATGATTAGAAGCTTGGAATTTTCTAGAAGGGGAGAGTTAACTGCGATACAACAGAAAGTCACATACAGTATTAAAGTTTTTTCCTGAATAATGATCTTAATATTTTTCTTTGAAAAGGCATGTTTATTGTTTGAGCATCAATGACTAGGGGGTCAAAGACTAATTTTTATGTGATTATTAACTTTTTAAAAATACTTAAAAATTTGTTGAAAATTTTGGCACCAATAAACTAAGTGGTAATTAAATAATATTTTCCTTGGAGCATTGATTTTTGTGTAAAAAAAAAATCACTTCACAAATTTCAGTGATCCACTGAGAATTTCAAATTCACTGAAATTTTATTTCTAAAATCAAGTTTTATATGCACAATAGGTATAAAATTTTCAATTCCTATTTGATGAAACTGTCTCCCTTCAAAAGAAATACAGATATTAAAATCATACATGTATCCTACCATGAAAGAGAAAAGAAATTCCTGCAATATTCATATCACAAACCTGGTATCATACTAATTAATATAAAACTTTATAATGTACATAATATTTCAAACAAATATTACATAAAGACAAGAAGTCAATGGACTAATGGAACAAGTTGTTCCAGGACACTCATTAGCAAAAATTTAATTTAAAAGAATACCCACTAAGATCAGATTTACACTAAATATTTTTATATTACTTTTCAAAATTCTGGACCTTTAAAACATATTTTGACCCAAAAAAACCAATTACCACCATTTTAGAACCATGGGATTTTTAGAGCAGTCAGAATTGTTGTTCAGTAGATGAGGAGTTATGAAGCATGTCCCAGGTGATCCAGCATGTGGTGACAAGACAGACCTAGCTGTCACTTTTTCTGTTAAGTCTTTCTTGAAGCCACCCTAAGCTCTCCAGTTGTGATGTAGTAAAATGCGACTACTGGACTGGCTTCCTTGCCCACCATAGGGTCTCAAGAGGAGAAGACATGACTCGCTCTTCTGTCTCTTGTAAAGGGGAGAGTCTGGTGTAAGGGACACATTCACTGCATTCATATCTCTTGAGGTGAAATGGCATATTAGACTGAATTTCATGGATCTAACACCTAAACCCCATTGAAAACATGGCTTTAGGAACTTCCCTGGTGGTCCCGTGGTTAAGACTACATACTTTCAATGTAGGAGAAGAGGTTTGATCCCTGGTCTGGGAATTAAGATCCCATATGCTGTAGAGAGTGGCCAAAGAAACAACCTCCAAAATGGCTTTAAATAGTGTTAAATTAATCTTACCCTTTGGGTAGTAAAAAGTACAAATAAGATAGTGGACTACTGTATTAAAACTTTCTTCTCAACTCAGCCCTCAGAAACTCAAATTTGTGAGGAAGCTCACAAGTCCTCTATTAGAATCCTAACCCACATGAGCATTCTTTCCACAATGTCTTTGAAAAGTAACAGTGACATCATCACATGATTCTAGTAAAACACTCTTTTTATGTGGCTACTCTGTAAATATCTGCTCTGAGACCACACAGAACAATAAACCCTTTGTTCCACATGTCTAAAGCTGGCTGGCGATCATGTACTCCCGCATTACATCTTCCCAGACTATCCACCAGCAGACCTCTTCCTCCACGTTTTTCACACATAATGGTTCCTGACCTCATAGACATGGATGCCGTTTCTGTTTAAACTCTATAGTTATCCACATCCTAGTACCCAGAGCTGAGGTCTAATCCTCAGATGGGCTGTGATCGTCAAAAATTAGAACAAAAACAATCAGCTCCCCTGCCTGCACAGTGTACGTGGTTTACCATCACATTAGTGTTTTCAGAAGTCCCAAGACACATCAAGATACAATAGTGTTTTTTTTTAAAAGGCTAAAAATGATTGGCAATACATTTTGAGGTTAAAAAATGGACATTCAAACACAGATAATTAAGCATATATAAAAGTTTATAATGAAATAAATGGTACAGAATGAAAAGTCTCCATTCCTATTTCCCAGCCCAACTTTTACTCCCCAGAGGTAAAAAATGTAAACACTGGGTTTAGTTCTTCCAGGGGAAATGACTACATGTACACTTCTGGTTATTATCATCTTTAAAATGATTCACCATATTATTGAATTCCTGGTATAAAAAATGAGGAAACTGGCTCATTTACTCTACTTACCTCCCACCATGCCAAATCTTTCTCCATTAAACACACCAAAATATTTTTAATTCTTCTGATTCTCTTTGTAATTTTAAGTAACATCCTTTAATCATATTTTATTCTATCAACTTTACACAGTATCTTGATTCCTTATCTTGTAAAATAAGAAAAGTAGTTTTATCTGTACTATTCCATTTCACCTTTCCCCTCAACGTCCAAGTTCTGCCACCTATTTCATTTCCTTTTTTTTAAACAATTTTTAATTTTAAGCTTTAGCTAATTAAGATCTAGCTAAAGCTTAAAGATTAAAAGTAATTGCAAAAATGATATAGGTAAAAGAACTTGGAAGTAGAGGGGACCTATATCATTTTTTAAATGATTTTTAATTTTTACACTTTAGCTATATCTGCAACTGGGCATTCCTGGGGGCTCAGCAGTAAAGAATTCACCTGCCAATGCAGGAGATACATCTTTGATTCCTGAGTGAGGAAGAACCCCTGGAGAAGGAAATGGCAACTCATTCCAGTATTCTTGCATGGAAAATTCCATGGTCAGAGGAGCCTGGCGGGCTATAGTCCATGGGATTGCAAAAGAGTCAGATATGATTTAGCAACTAAACAACAAAAAATACCTGTAATCAAGTTTTCCATGCCTTGTCTATATACTTATTCTAATATGCAAGGGAAAATACAAAATAATTATTTTGTGTTATATTATATACATGTATTGTGTATGCATGCATGCATGCATGGTAAGTCACCTTAGTTGTAAGTCTTTGCAACCCTTATCTCCAGGCAAGAATACTGGAATGGCTTGCCATTTCATTCTCCAGGGGCTTGATCCCAACCAGGGACTGAACCTACATCTCATGTCTCCTGTATGGGGAGGCAGGTTCTTTCCCACTAGCACCACCTAAGAAGCTCATTTGTATCTGTAGGACTATCAAAAGTATTCAGTGCAAATTCCCTTTCATTCTTCTTGCAGTTGTTTATCACATGCCTTCATCTAAACTCTAGTAGCCTCAGTTCCACTGGTTTACAAATTAAACAGCTTTCCTGTTTGCCTGAACAACCAGTCATACTTTTATCCTGTTTTTACTTAATCCTTCTTTCTCCTCAAGGAAATCCTCATTATTTATTCAATAAGTCTCAATTACTGACTTTTTTCCTGCCTCATTAGACTAGTTATCTGAAATTAGTATGGCAGCCCCATAGCTGCCTTCAGTTTAGGCTAATTTAGCCCATTGCTTAAGGCCACAACTTTGTAAGGCTTCCACCTGCTGCTCTGGGTATCTTGAGGCTTTTCGTCTCTGACTGGTGGGAACATGAACTATTTCCAGCCCCGAGTGCCCTTGAACTGTTCTGTCTACTTCTTCCTGTATCTTTCCCCAGTCTTGGGTAGTCTGTGCAGATCAGCCAAATACTCTAGGCCAGCAAAAACTTGAGGGTCCTCCACATGTTTCTATAGCCTCTCTTCATGCTACTGCCATCTCTCCATACTACACTGCAAATTCTGGCCATCCTGGCTCTCTACATGTCTCCCAGAAGGCTTCGTTTAGGTACTCCCACACTGCAGCATGCAAACTGCTTCCAGGGAGGCAGCTGGTGCAACCTGAAGCTCACCACGTTTGCTTGTCCTCTCTCAAAGATCATGATTCCAAGCTGCCTGTTTTTCAAAGTCCAAAACCATTTTTACATATTTTGTCTGGTTTTATAGTTATTTCAGGCAGGAGGGTGATTCTGGTCTCTGTTATTTCATCTTGTTTGGAAGCAGAAATCCCCCTTGGCCCTCTTCAAATAACTCAAATCTAGGAGAACTCTGCAAAAGTGCTCATTTGTGCACTGACT